AGTTTTGTTCCTTATTTGCTTGAGATAACTGCAGTCTAAACACATAAGGTGTCAAGTTCTTACCGCGCCTCATTTTTCCAATCGCCATTATATCAAATTGTCTACAGTTTTAGATAGGTTTTAAAAAATTGAAAAATTTTGAAAAATGCGGCGAAATTGGCAATCTTTGTTAATATTACAACATTCTTAGGCGGGTTTCGATTTTCAGGAACTTTGGTATTTGGGTATATTCACTTCAAAATTCAGTTTTGAAAAATTAAACAAAACCATAAAAAATTGATACCTACACTAGATATGATATCAAACATTTTCTATAGATCATCTACCCTATAAAATCAATAGGTATTTAAAGGTGTAGATCTACTGCATAGGGCCTATAAGATTTTGGTTTATTTTCTGCGTCTGAATTCTAGAAAACTACTGGCTTCTCAAAAACTCCGCGTTTTGGAAATGCTCACTGAGCTGAAGCTTTACTGTAGTTTTTTCAGATTTGGTACTCAACATGCTTTTGATGACTATAGTGAAATGTGAAATGACAATGACTATCCAGAAGCAAATTACATCAACAGTATTTAACATCGATGTGTCACTTAGTGGCAGTGCGTCATGTCCGCCAAAGAGTTTTTAAAAAGCAGTATCCAAAACGGTTGACCTATATGAAAGTTTCTAAAAATGTTCCCTTTAACGGTATCGAATTTTCACATCTTGAATTGGTATCGCTTATATATTTTTTTAAAGACATAGCTTGTTTTATTTAATCGATTCATTTAACTTCGTTTGCCAGTCTATTTCCCGTTGGTTAAGTTTTCGATAAAAAATGTACAGATTCTACACAATACATATTAATTATAATAACTCGTTCAGTCAATTGCCCCGATTTTCTGACAATCGCCTTTTTATTAACAATTTCTTTTAGCTAATCTCTTTCATCTTAAGTTTGGGAGATTTAAGTGCATCGAATTATAATCGCAATAACGAATCTCAAATGTGCTTATTCAATAAGCGATCCTTTCAATTATAAAGTAATGGAAAAAGAATCAATTTAAAATCTTTGTGGCTTTTCTATTTGGGATTTTTAACGGTTTTGGAATCAACCGCAACACAATCACTTACACAAAATTGATTTTGTATGCCTCTTCATTATCCACAAACTGACATTCGCAAAGAGAGTGGTCCAGTTAAAAGTCTGCGAACGTAACGTGTGTTGGTTTAAACATTTTAACAAAAAATTGCTTGGTTATACACCATTTATTGCACTTATAGGTATACACGTTTACAGATGTCATATATGTTCAAGTTTCGATTCCGAACGGATAGATGCAATTAACAAAACTCTTTATGATCACCAAATGGATTTTTAAGTGTCTTTTGCAATTCTTTACCTTAAAAATAATTCTCCTAACAGTATTTATGCAGACTAATAAAAAGTGTACATCTCCGATGTAAATGATATGGAAATACGTTGTCAAAATTAACAAATAACAGTTTTACTTGTTAGACCTAAATTACATTATGGTACCTATTTTGTAGTTGTGTCATTTGGGCAACTTTGCCTTGTTCCGGTTATACGTGTTCAGTCGTCGACCTTTGTATTTTGGACATTAAAAATAAACTTTCTTCCTTGTTGCAATAACAAAATTTTCACACTAATCCTATAGTGGATTAATCACTGCCGTGTTACACGCTATAACGGTGCAACTTAAATGTGATTTTCATTCAATATGTTAATAATAATTTTTCTATTTTGAAATATGATTATACGGTAGCGTGGTAGCTTTGTCACACTGAATTGCTAATTGGGCGGATTAATTGTAGCTTGTAACTGTAAAAATTGAAGATCGTGCAGTAGATATTTGGGACTTGAGGCCCTAATTAATCTGCATAAAGAAGTGAGGATGCAACGTGGTGTTATTCAATTAATTTGAGTGTTATCGTAATGAATCACATCCGTCCTTGAGAAATAGGGAGGAAACGATAGTTATTATGATCAATAAACAACTGTTATAGCCTCGGTACTGATAGCATTCATTTTTAACTGTTTTTTCACCTAGTTCGTACGATCCTGCTCGATTTCTCAAGTACATTTTGATTTTCGCTAATTGCCAAAGTTTTGAAAGTACTCCCTCATTTGAAACCGAACTGTTAAATATTCAATTACATCTCACGCGCTCTATAACTTTGACATATTTTTCACTTCATCGATCTCGACTTTTCAATCTCAAACTTAACGCTTTAAAAATTTTATCTGCCTCTTGTGAAGCGCAGAAATTAAGGCTAGAGATGATTCATTCTTTCTGTTAACGATTGGCATCGTTTCAAATAGTGGCAATGTGATCCAACAATACGTAACAGATTACCAGTGTTGCATTTTTACATACAGATAATATATTGTTTTAACTTTCTATGAATATTCTTTACAATGCAATACGAATTGTAAATGTTTCCTCAAATTCATAGGTACTCGCACTGTTATGGTGAATAAATTAAACAAATATATAGCCTGGGTATGGCGAAAGATGTCGTGCAAATCGGTTCATAACTAACGGAGATGTCAAAAGGGCATTCCATATTTTACTACACGAACTCCATTCTACAAATTTAATAAAGCATCTACCGGAAAAATTCATCGTATTCATCCATTCGTTTTATCGTGCTAATGGACAGACGGGCAGACACTGCACTCGTTAGGAGCTCTACCTGCAGGTAGATATAACCTCTTGGGATCTCCTCAAGAAACGAGACGACAATCGCACTCTACGGCTGTCAAAGTTAACGGATAGGATACTGGGACATGCCATCCTTTCATGCGCAAAACCAAATTTTGAAACTGGTGTTAGATTTGCTTTAGTTCCAAGTGCCTATGAATCAAATTGCATTTAAATGCTTTCGTAAACAAAAGTTTGCAATTCAGTTTATATAAACGGTTGAGATGCGAAAAGGGCATAATACCTTTGCTAGTTCCTAAGTGAAACTGTCGAACTCTTTTATGATTGTAGAGGGCCACTAACGTCACGCTCAAAGGCAGAAAGTGGCGAATAAAATGGTTATTTTAGGGGACTGTACACTCCTCACAAAAAGTAAAAATGCATGTTCACTAACAGCAATTTTTGACCAGGAATGTGGATCAATACTGACAACACACAAAGAATATAACTATGATATACTGTCCCCGTTTGAAAAGTAATTGTGGGGAAACAATGGCGGTATAGTGACTTGTTACATTCCGATATGACGAAGATTTCCGGGATTGAATTTGCTAAATTTTGTTCCTATAATGAGCGGATTTTTTGGGGGCGATTCCTGTAGATTTTATTCAATTTTCATTTTCGACACAAGTCACCGATTCGGTACAGTCCAGTATTTTGAACCTAATCAGTTTGACCCTTGCACCTCTGGAAGGATCACGCTAACTATATAACTTTCCATAATTGTTAACCTTTTTTAAAACGGTAATTGAATCATTTACAAAAGGTGTAATTATCGCGTTTAATAAGGAAGCACGTTTCTTGTCGTCTAATTATGAACTGGGTGTACGTAATGACAATTTCGTGCACTTTGTATAAACTTTGAAAATGAGTAGCGGTACCGGATACCAAATTTTGGCGTATTAAAGTTACTTCATTGTTCCCCTGCGTTATTATGGGAAATAGCTTAAATGCCTTTATTGTATAGCGGTTGAGATTTTGCCATTCCCATTATTGATGTACTTAGAGGTCATTTAGATTAAAATTGATACGTGTAATAAGCGGTAGGGTGTGAAAATACTTGGCAGTATAATAGTGGCCGGTGATCTTAATATAGAGCGTAGGTATATAGCAAACGTGATTTGTCTGTATAATTGTCGACGTAAAATAAGAATAATTATATTCTTGCGGGAAATATGATGTAAGTGAAGTACCCAAGTCCAAGACCAAATTAATTGTGTGCGTTCATTTTCTGTAGGTACATTTTCCAATGAAAATTACCCACAATTTATTTCAGTGCAAGTGCTATTCAATTAGCTATAGGAATTATATGACCTCTTGATTAACGTTTTGTTCCGTTTCTCACAGTAACTTAGTTGGACTGAATGTAATTATGAAAATCGGCAGAAGAACGATAAGATTTTCTTGCCATATTTTCAATAATTGTGTTTCATTCCGCTTTCTCTATTGTCTTAAACTTTGAACTTTCTTGTGGGATTTATACACAATTGATCAACGATGAATTTTTCTCTTACGTGTATGTAAATACATATGATAAATCTGTAACCCCGTTTGGGTTAATTTTTTTTTAATTGGCATCTCTACCTACACTTAGTGTGACTCAAAGTCAATTAAATATTGTAAAGTGATCGTGTGGTTTTCAATAATCGATTCTTAATTACAATCATTATAATGCATCTATGAGCACACGCTGACTGGGGTCGACAAAAATTCCTGTAAAAGTGTAGAAGACGGAATTGCAAGTAATGAGATTTATGGTCATAAATTATGTAATAAAGCCATTTACATCATGGCACATGGTACGGTTTGCTCGTAAAGAGCGTGCAAAGTATTTTTCAAATTTAAATTGATTCTCGTATCAAGAATGCTGTAAGCAAAGTGCATGATATGCAATATTTTGTTTTTACATGCTGTAGTTATGGAATTGAATTTCCTAAAATCGCACATAATTATCGCCTATTTTATGTAAATGTTGATGAGGACAACTAATTACAAGAAATATCGGTTGCAGATATAAATTTCCATACATGGCGCCGCCTTTTAATGAAAATAAATCTATGTCCATTAGTGGATCACGCGAAAATTACAACTTGTAGAAACCTCAATTTTTTTTACATAAAAAATTAATTAGTAGGTACACTGCGAGAGGTAAATACTTTGATCGCATTTTAATTTTTCCGTGAGGGATGCATCTGAACGAACTGCGATGAACTTCATCAGTTGTGTTCATTGAAGCAACGCTTTAATTACACACTTGAGGTAATATCGAAGATTATGTAAAATTTTCTATCTCACCTGGCTAATGTTGGATGCAATTTTGACCTGAGGTTTTTCACGCTTACTAAGGTAAAAGTCGTGCACGTGGTGGTTATCCCTGGGCTCTTCGGTGGTTCCGATCGCATCCTGGGTGGTTGTATCCAGTATAGTAGACATTTCTGTCTCTGTTGTTCCTGTGGTTGTCGGGTTTGATTTTCTAATTGTCGTAGGCGATAAAGTGGTTAAGACGACAGTTGTCCAAATGGGGGTTGCTGTGGCCGTTTGCGTTAAGGTTGTCGGCGGCTTAGTTTTTTGGAAGCGTTTTTTTGTTGTTGATTTAGTTTCAATTTTCGGAGGGATGGTTTCTGTGACGGTAATGATTTTATAAGGGTTTGTTATTTTTGTCATTTTTGGAGGTTTAGTCGAAGGTTCATTTCTCGTTTTTTCGATTAAAGTTGTTGTCGGCAATTGGGTGGTCGTTTTTTCGTTGGTCGTTTTTCCTTGTCGTAGCCACGAAAAGCTATTGAAAATGTCTTGGGGAAACTTCCAAAACTGGCAGTTCACTTGCGATAACATCACCATGTTTAACAATATGAATGAGAAACGCATTTTGTCACCTTAAAATTTTAACAAAGTTCACGTTTAGTTAAGTGCCGATGACAGCAGACCAAAGAAAATTAAGAGTTTCCGCCGTCAAGGAACAAACTCGCGCGCGCCCTTGAGCTTTAACGCTACGGCGGTTGACGATGATGTGCGCTAAGAAGAAGCTTCTTGCAGTATACTTAAGACTGCCTTCTTGTAATTGAAGTTAACCCACTTCTTAGCCAATAGTACATGGATATTCTAGCGCTTTACAATTCATTCTATTGTCCTACTACATCAATAACATTTGTCAAGGTTGCTTTTACTTGTGCATAGATTTCACGCAGATAAGAAAAAAAGGATTAATATGCAAAATTCGATGTGAAAAATAAACAAATTCAAACTTTCGCATGCAATTATAATTCTCTGTCTACTTATGTTTCGTGCGATTTTTCTTGGGTGTTAATTAATTACGTGCCAATAATCCTTGAAAAATTGTGACAAATCGCCGTAATATTAACAGTTTCTTCATAAATTTTTCCTTCCGTTTTTATTTATGCATGTTCGCATCTTCCTGAAGGTTTAAAAGTACTTCTTTATAAATCGAGTGTATTGCTACAGTTGTAAAGTTCTTTTCTGCCATAGTCCAGTCAATAGAGACCTAAATAGGGGAGTTTAGTCAAAAATTTGGTGTCCAAGAGGTTATGACTGATTCTTATGTATTTTTTGGCGTAGATTCCGAATTTTTAATCTCCCACCAACCTTAGGGGGTGGGAACCCCCCCAAAAATGCAAAAAACCCCAAAATTTCGGTCCAAAATTCAGAATTTTGGAAAAATCTCGCTAAATTTAGATTTTTGGCCCAAAGTACCTTAGTTCAAAATTAAAGTACACAAAATTTTCAGGAAAAGTGCTATATACACTTTTGGTCTAGGACCAACGGGGGCGGAGATAAGAGGGGGTCAAAAAAGGGTACTTTGTTGGAAAACGTGAAAAAAACTGAATTTCTCTGAATAACTCGCTAAATGTTGGTTTTAGAGAAAAAACTCAAAGGACCAAAATGAAAGTAGACGAAAAATTACTTCGGAAAGTGCACGTGTGCGGAGCCGATGAAGGGGGGGAGGAGGGGGAGGGGGCGAGCGCAAAACCTCTCTTCCTGGCGCCGCGCGACGGCACTGGCATAAGGCGCTATACGCGCAGTTTCGGGTATCTCTGGCGGCCTCGGTCCCGGTCATAACGGATGCTTCTTTGTCCTTATTTTAGAAAGGGGCCTCTGGCTTCCCCCTCCCTCTTGTTGGTCGTTTGTATGCTTTTTGTGTCCTCTGGAAACCAGTTCAAGATCCTTCTTCAGTGCGTCTGTGTTGTCGCGTCGTGCGCATCACGCTATATTGCTCCGTGCTTATTTACTATTTTTCGCCTGAGCCAGTAGAGGTTGAGTTTTTATTTAAAGATGGCCTAAAAAAGTGCGAAAGTAACGTTTCTTGCTGTCCGCCATGCAAATCAGAATTTCAGACAAATACTACAATCTCCCCCAAAAATTGTAACTCGAGCACTAAATAAACAAGTACAATGCGATCAAAAATGATTGGCTCTCTAGTCGCCTTTGGAATTTTTGTTTACATGGGAAATCGTATCTAACTTGAACTTCCAAAGGCGACTCGACAGCCAATCATTTTTGATCGCCCGATATAAATTGTGCACAACTCCTGTGCAGATAAAGCGCATTTTTTTAACCGAAATAGCTTTTGTATGGACATCACCAATGGATATATTTCTTGCAGACGTTTCAATCGCCCTTTGATAGTACCCTCTTCCGACAATCCGTTCTTGAGGTATAAGGTAATATACACGATCACGATAAGAGGTCGAGGAGGAGGGCTATGGTTGGTAGAAATTAATTCCTTGCGTTGAGACCTTTCATTAGAGTACCATGAAGGTTAAAACTAGTTCCACTCTCTCCCCTCGAGAGTATATGCAAGCGAACAAACTCAAAACGCACAGGCGCGCGAGCACGATATTACAGAAAATTTCGGTAAAAACAACAAACTTTTAACCGAAAAATAGTAAATAAGCAGGGAGCAATATAGCGTGATGCGCACGACGCGACAACACAGACGCACTGAAGAGGGATCTTGAACTGGTTTCCAGAGGACACAAAAAGCATACAAACGACCAACAAGAGGGAGGGGGAAGCCAGAGGCCCCTTTCTAAAATAAGGACAAAGAAGCATCCGTTATGACCGGGACCGAGGCCGCCAGAGATACCCGAAACTGCGCGTATAGCGCCTTATGCCAGTGCCGTCGCGCGGCGCCAGGAAGAGAGGTTTTGCGCTCGCCCCCTCCCCCTCCTCCCCCCCTTCATCGGCTCCGCACACGTGCACTTTCCGAAGTAATTTTTCGTCTACTTTCATTTTGGTCCTTTGAGTTTTTTCTCTAAAACCAACATTTAGCGAGTTATTCAGAGAAATTCCGTTTTTTTCACGTTTTCCAACAAAGTACCCTTTTTTGACCCCCCTCTTATCTCCGCCCCCGTTGGTCCTAGACCAAAAGTGTATATATCACTTTTCCTGCAAATTTTGTGTACTTTAATTTTGAACTAAGGTACTTTGGGCCAAAAATCTAAATTTAGCGAGATTTTTCCAAAATTCTGAATTTTGGGCCGAAATTTTGGGGTTTTTTGCATTTTTGGGGGGGTTCCCACCCCCTAAGGTTGGTGGGAGATTAAAAATTCGGAATCTACGCCAAAAAATACATAAGAATCAGTCATAACCTCTTGGACACCAAATTTTTGACTAAACTTTTCTCTATTGACTGGACTACCAGTAAAATGGCATGTGCAAAATTCTAATGTAATGGCGCCGGTGACCCGTGAAATTTTTCTACTCATAGTAAACCAGTATAAATGATGCACATTGTAATATTTCTTTGAAATGTCATGCATATCCTCGTACTCTTCCCTAAAGTAATTTCGTGACAATACTTGAACAAGCTGCCTGTTGCTTACATGTTTGTTTAACCCATTAGACGGACCCCAGTCGACCGTCCATTATTAATCTACAGAATCATTTTTTAAGGGAAAATGTTCCCTGTTTAGTGGGAGCACCCCTTTGCAGTTTCATTCTTCATATGCTTTGGAAAACATCTCCCTTTCACGATGTGGTTTAAGTCTTACAATTAAATAATTTTTGAAAGATTGCAGTATTATTTCAAATAGGTACAATCCAAATTTACTTTAGCGAGGAGTTCCCCATCCAAATTTAAAACTACAGCATCTTGTGCATGTGCATACAGAAAAATTGAAAATGGCTCTCATATCCACTAAGGTAGTGCAAATAACACAAGAATTTAGTTCATATGGGTTGAAGATTTTGTTCCAATTTGGGCAACGACTTTTTTGCCGCATTCATGGGGAGCCAGGTAATTAGCAGTCGATGACGTCAATGTAATACAAAATACTACGTTGCAAAGGTAAAAATCCGATACAACTGAATACCGAACGATCCTCGAGATCTTCACACAAACATTCATTTTTACAACACACCTTAAGAGGTTGATTCTGTCCCACCAGATCAGCATAGCTTGTAAAACAAATTTAGTTTTACTTTTACTCAAGGTTCCTATGTACAAAATTTCATTTAAATATGTATCTTAACAAATGAAAAATTTGAGATTGCGAATGCGCAAAATAAATTTTTTGATTCGGCATTAGTTTTACTTTTATTCGAAGTGCGTACATACAAAATTTCATTTAAATCTCTTAACAAATAACAAAAATTGGGTTGCGCATGTGCAATTTTTTTTATTCATCTGCATAGTCGCCTAAGAATATTTACTAACACAGAAAACCGAACATTCATAATATGTTCTTTGTAACAAAAATTATAAAAGCAGTGCCCTTTTTTGGAGGTTTGAGTAGTTTTTGGGCTGTAACTTTTTGGCCCGTTAGTGTACATAGCCGAAAAACAATCGCGACCTTTCTAATATCCTAAAGAACATGTGTATCAATTTTCAAAGCGATCGGACGTTTCTACACAAAGTTATCGTGCACACGGACAGACGGACAGACAGACAGCATTACAAAACAATACAAAAATAAAAAAGCGCGAACTTGTTGCGTTCTCCAGGTAACAGCTTCCGTTAACTCTATAACTAGCGCCAGTATGAATTCAGCTAGCGCAATTATAGATTTTGCTAAAAAAAAACCTAGCGGAATAGGAAGCGCTATGTTCGTCAGAGAGTAGAAGGGGTACGCTTCATTCCCTCCACTTTATCTTAACAAGTCATTCATTAAATGGGTTAATGAGATCAATTATATTGATCTTCAGCGATTTGATGCTGGATTAGGAGATTTTTTGCCGTTTGGGCCTTAATGGAAACATTTTTATTTTTGAAATTATATCATGGATTTTGGTCCATACAGTCTCCGAATCAATATGATCTGCGATAGTTAATGTGTCCATTAAAATCTGTTATTAATTCTACGCGAGGCTACTGTTTTGAATTTGATAAGTAACATATCATTTGGTCCATATAAAATCATCAGCATCTCGATTAAAATTTGCTCGGAGCGATTGTTTTGATGTTTGTTTCAAATTAAGTCGGCACTATTGCTAGTTGTCAAAATGGTTTATCTTTTCTACTGAATCCCAATCTGTTATTAAAAAACGAAAACAACATTGCATTTTTCAGATAATAACAAAAATGCCACTTTTTTATATAGAACACCCTATATATTATTACATCATATGACCGCTTGTAACAGGTGATCGCTTTAGGCTTTAAAATTTTTTTTTAATTCTACAACTTTGTCCTATAGGTAATTTAATACGTGAACTTATCGCTTCATAATGAGAGAGAACAGAACTAATATGCGAAAGAATGGAGGGCATTAAGATAAGCACGAATGTTCAAGCAGATTAAAGGTCCAAACGTTACAGCGTTGCCGGTACCAAAAACCGTCGATACGGAGTTGGGCACTCTCCGCTATGTTTACCCATGTAGAAAAAACGCAGCTGAAGCCTTTGGAGGGGCCGTTTCGGTTTTTCAGATTATATTATGAAAAATTTGATGGGAGAGCGGCATATAACTTTTTATAATCCGCGAAACTGGGAAAATAATCGACCAATCAGAGCGCTAGTCCACGAATTATTTTTGAAGATTAAACGTAAAACCACAATC